ACCCACTGCCATCAAGTTGATTCTGACTCGTAGTGACCCCCATTGGGTTTCTGAGGTAGTAAATCTTTACGGAAATAGATTGCCCCATCGTCCTTCCACAGAGTGGCTGGTGAGTTTGAACCACTAACCTTCTGGTTAACAGTCAAAATGCCTTAGGCACTTCCTCACCCAAGTTCCTTTCTTCAAGGAAAACAGGCTCCAAGTCACTGTGGTAGCCTGACACCTTGTGGTCCCGGCCGGTACTGCATAGCCCTAAGTCAAAGGGAAGTCAGTGGGTAGAACCCCACACTGAAAAAGCAGGGCTGTGTGAAAAAGCAGGACTTGAGTGAGCCTCGGTGCTCTGACAGTGTTTGGAATCCCTTCCCCTTCCCCCGAGAGGCTTAGAAGCCTCCAAAGCACCTCCCTTAGGTCACCCTATGACTCACATGTCAGTAGGCACAGCATTTTGCATGGATTCATATTATTTCCTCTTCGTAACAACCTTATGAGGCTTGCAGATGAGGAAACAGAGACACAGAGAAGACAGTAACTCGCCGGAGGTCACAGGGCTGATGGGTGAGGGACAGAGCCAGGATGTAGGCCCTGCTCTCTGACTTCCACAGGAAAATTCTCAATCGGCACACAGCCCTGAGCCCCTCTGCCAGGAACAGGAAACAGAACTTTTGGGGGGTGCCCAGGGCTTTAGGGGCAGCAAAGGTTGGAGGCATTGGGAAGGCTTCCTGGCAGATGGGGGCTGAGCTCAGCTATAAACAGAGGGACGTGAACGCCGTAGTAGCTTTTTTCTGACTAAGGACACCAAGCCAGGTTCTGTGTTAGCACTGACATATGCACTTTAAAAATGTCTCTCTCTCCTACAGTGCTTTGTAAGAGTGGGATAAGCCTGAGACCACACCTCCTTTATCTAACACCCCAACCAATTTGGAACTTGTCCAAATTGGAATTTGTGGGGATATGTAGCCGGCTTCACACCATGTAGCAGTTAGGAATGCTTTGGGCTGCAAATAACTCATAATGTAATTGATCGTGATTTAAATAAGAGTGAGTGCTGATTGGTCTCTGGTATCAAGAAGTCCTGGGGTAGGTCACTGGTAAGGATGGCAGTTTTCAGCCCTCCCATTGGGGAATCAGAGACCCAACTCTTTCCATCTTCTCTTAGCATGTGGGCCTTTGTCTCTGTGCCCGTTGCCTCTCATCACAAGACAGTTGCTGTGTCTCAGACTGACCACTGTGTTCCAGGCAGGAGGAAGGAGGACCAGCAACACTCTGAAGGGATGTGCCAACCAAGTGGGTGCCTTCCAAAAGGCTTTCCTGGAAGCACCACCCAGAGACTTCCACTTCCTTCTGGTTAGACAGAGCAAAGTCTCCTGGCCCACCTGCTTTCTCAGGTGCAAAGGAGTCTGGGAAGTGAGCCTTTTCAAATGACTGTTGCTTCCCTAAATAAAAGAAGGGTTCAGTTAGTTAGGAAGAAGGGGAAATGGGATTCGAGTGGCCCAGTGGCAGAATCTACCTCATGTCACCATTAGTACCTGAAGGGCTGGGAGAAAGGCCTGGGAAGTGGGGGAAAGGGTTACAAGGAAGCCCAAGGGAAATGGTGAGAAGAGAAGAGAGCAGGACACTGAGGATCCTCTTCCTCTGGGCCCCTGGCCACTGTGTGACCTTAGCCTTCCTCCCTGGACTCAGTTTCCTCTTCTCTAAAGTGAAGAGACTTGACAAGGTGGTGGTGGTTAGGTGCCCTCAGGTCGACCCGACTCACAGCGACCCCTCCTTGGGTTGCCGAGGCGGTATCACTACGGAAGTAGACTGCCCAACCTTCCTTCCCAGGAGTGGCTGGTGGGTTTGAACCGCCAGCCTTCTGGTTAGCAGTCAGATGCCTTAGGCATTATGCCACGAGAGCTCCCATATGCAGTGGAGTAGAATATACATTGTATTTGTTTATTTTTGTAGGACATCCTCTTTTTGTATTGTGGTTAGGTGAAAGTGTGCAGAGCAGATTACTTTCCATCCAATGTTTATTATGTTGCAGTGGGGAGTGTTCCACAAACGTCTGTCAAGTCTGGTTGGTTTATAGTGTCACTCAGGTCCTCTGTTGCCTTGTTGGTTTCTTTCTAGAGGTCTGTCCAGTGGTGGAAGTGGTGTATGAAGTCTCCACTTCACTGCAGTACTGTCCGTTTCTCCCTTCAGTTCTTTCAGTGTATTCAGGTGCCCTGAAGTTAGGTGCATATATATTTATGATTGTTAAATCTTCTTGATTAACTGACTCTTTTCTCACTATATAATGCCCATCTTTATCTCTTCTCACAGATTTTGTCTTAAAGTCTTATTTTAAGATTGCCATTCCAGCTCTCTTTTTGTTGTTATTTGTGTGGAATGTTTTTTTTCCTATACTTTCACTTTCAAAGATGATGTCCTTGGAGTTAAAGTGTGTCTCTTGTAAGCAGCATATAGTTGGATTGTAGGGTTTTCATTCATTCTGCCACTTTCTGCCTTTTGATTGGAGTGTTTGTCCATTTATATTCACTGTAATTCCTGATAAGAACTGACTTCCTTCTGCCGTTTTGTTATTTGGTTTTATGTGCCTTACACCTTCTTAGGAGCTCTGGTGGCGTAGTGCCTAAGGCACTTGACTGCTAACCAGAAAGCTGACGGTTCAAACCCACCAGCCACTCCTCGGAAGGAAGGTTGGGCAATCTACTTCTGTAGTGGTACTGCCTCGGAAACCCAAGGAAGGTTTGCGATGAGTCGGATCTGACTCACCAGCAGTGAGTTTGGTGTTTGGTTTGGTTAAGGCTTCTTTGTTTTTGTCCTTTATACTGTTTGTTTTTGTGTTTTCTTGGTTTATTGTAGTGAGACTTTTTTGGTTCCCTTTTCTTTTTGTATGTTTTTATATTTTTCTTTCCTTAGTGGTTATCATGCATATTATATCTAAGAGCTTGGATCTGTAGCACTCTAGGGTAACCACCACCTACGGGGCCCTGGAACCAACTTCAGTAACATACAAGAAATTCCTGTCTGTAGCATTTCTCTTCCTCCTTTTTTTTTGTTATTATCACTAATGACGTGTTTACCGTTCATTTGTCCTATAACACAATTTTCTCTTTGCCTTTTATATAGTCGTTATTAAAAAACATGAAGAAAAAAACATTTAGAGTTATCAAGGACGAATAACTAATTACTGGCCCTTAGGCTTCTCCATGTATTTCCCTTGTTTATGGATTTTCTTTTTGGTGGCTTCTCAAACTTCTTAACCAAAGCCTCTAACAAGCTAAGGAGAGTAACTTGTAAGCACCCGCCCAGCTGTAAAAGCTTCCTCAATCATGGTCTTTTATCCAAAAACTTCACGTAAATTTTGTATTCTGAAGTACCTCAAAACTTAAGTTACTTCAGAAAATATCAGCTATTAAGAATATGTATACTTCATAGAGGCATGAGTGTCAATGTTTTTACTTACTTAAAATCTTCAGAAATTGCATGCAATATAGTGTAACTGTAACTAAAATTCTCCTACATCAGCTTCTCAATATATTTCAGAGTAGGTAATTCACATGGTTCAAAAAAGTGCAGAAGCACGTTGTTAGCTGTGGCAGAGCGGGCTCCCCTCGTGGCGGCCTTATGTGGAGCAGAATCTAACAGCCGGGTCCTGCCTCATCTTCATCATCTTTGATACGTTTCAGCGCATTGTTGGGGCTTTTGTGTCAATCCATCTCCCTGAGGGTTTTCCTTAACCCTCTACTTCCCAAAGCAGCCCTGGTGGCACAGTGCTTAAGTGCTCGGCTGCTAACCAAAAGGACTGGAGTTCCAGCCCAACAGTCCCGTTGTGGGAGAAAGATGTGACAGTCCACTTCCATCAAAATTAACATTCTTGGAAGCCCTGTGGGCAGTTCTAGTCTGTCCTATAGAGTCACTGTAAGTCAGAATTAACTCCTCGGCAACTGGTTTGGTTTGGATCAAATTTCAGAAACGGACGTGAAGGGCTTTTCTAGCAATTGGTCTTTCCTGAGAACGTGTGGGAAGTGGGTGAGCCCACGTCCCGTCATCTTCCCGCCATCCTCCATCTGAAGAGCAGTCCAGTTGTACGCAATAGGTAGAGACGCACAGTGAGACATCCCCGGCCTCCCTGTCTCCCATCCACACCCCTCTCGCCCTAAGGCTTCCGCGGGTGGGTTTCCCATGTGTGCCCTTCCAGAGGATGTCCAACACAATGTTACTTCATTTCAAAACTAAGCAAGACGATGTAGGAGATCCTGGATAGAGTGGGAGAACAATGTGGAATAAAACTCAAAATCAAATAAATAAATGAATAAAAGGGTTTGCTGCCCCCGAGACTATGGACCCTCACTGCCCTTCAGGTCTGGAATTGAACCCACTGTTGTGGCTCCCAGCCAAACAAAAGACAAGCATGTGAGCTGAATATTTACTTTAGGTAGATACACTCCTTGGAGAGATCAATCATGAGAGAATAGAAAGGCTGTGTATGTGCACAGGGAAACAGCTTGGAGAGGGGCAGGAGTGCATGGGAGGGAAGGACACCGGAAGAGGTAACTATGGGGAGGAAGTGGGAGGGGAGCTGTTGCATTGGGGTAAACAGTAGTCAACTTCATGAGACAATGTGTGTGTGAACTGCTCTATGGAAAGTGAATTTACTCTGTAAACTTTCACCCAAATCACAATTTAAAAAAAAAACCTAAGCAAGCGGTCCCTCAGCATGGGAAAGCAATACAAATTTCTGAGCAAGGCCACTAGTGCTCTGGAAGCTCGCTGAGGGTGTGGGGTGGGCGTGGGGTTGACCCTCAGGGGTTGAAGCTCCAGGTGGTGGGTGGAGCTTAGAGGCGGTGGGCGGGGCCCAGATGTGGGTGGGGAACCCGGAGGAGATGGAAAGGTCTGCATCTCAGTGGCTCGCTCTGGGGAGGGGAGTCCCCGAGCGGGAGGCCCGCTTGCACTAGCGCCCCCTGTAGGAGTGGACCGAGGGTCTGCGCTCAGCCTCCATACTTTTGTCCTCGCAGGTTCCTACTATTTGACCACCACCTACGGGGCCCTGGAACACATCAAAAACTACGACAAGATCACGGTGACCCGGCAGCTGAGCGTGGAAGTGCAGGACTCCATCCACCGCTGGGAGCGCCGGCGCACACTCAACAAGGCGCGCGCCTCGCGCTCCTCAGTGCAGGTAACGCGGGCGGAGGGAGAGACCATGGCCCAGCACCGTCCCCCAAGCTGCCTGCCCACTGGCTCAGGAGCCCTGACACCTGACTGACTGCTCTGGCCACCAGCCTGTCCTTGGAGCAGCGCTGCTTCCACCAGGAGAAAGGGATCCCGGCCCCTGCTGGCCAGTGTGAGCCCAGCTCTGCTCCGGGCCCTGGTGGGCCTGGAGAAGCAGCTCTGGGCACGCGTTCAAGTTGGGCAGTCGTGATGGCTGTAGGAGGAACATGGAGATGTCGTCCCAGTCCATGCTCTTGCCTCGTGGTCCCTGGACAAATGCAGCAGCTGCCAAGGGTCTCCCTGCCCCCTCCGATCCAGCCACCCGTCCCTGCACGGTCTCACTGTACCAGACGCCGTGGACTCCACTAGGAGGCATGGTGACCCCGCGTGGGTCAGAGTAGAACTGTCCTCCGCAGGGTCTCAAGGGCTGATTTTTCAGAAGTAGATCTCCAGGCCTTTTTTCTGAGGTGCCTCTGGGTGGAATCAGCTCTCCACACTTTCCGTGAGCAGTCCAGTGCATTAACGGTTCGCACCACCCCAGGAGCTCTCATCTCTCTATACAAACTCAATATTCAAGCCATTCATGGCCAGACTCCTGCCTCCTCCTCCATTCCCAGCATCCCACTCACCCCCCTGGCTCCATCAACCAGCTACTCATGATTTCCCGAACCTGCTGCACTCCACACCCTCCCCCTCAGCCTCTGCCCTTGCTGGTCCTTCTCCCCTTCTTAACCAGCTCTCTGCTGCCCATCCTTTAAGACAACTCAGTTCCTCCACAGGGCCTCTTTGAGAAACCTTGCCCCTTACCTACTCTGCATCCCCATGGGCTGGGTTTTACATCCTCCTCTGCTCCCCGCTGCTCCGCCCCCCATGACAGCAGCTATGGCACCATATGGTACCTCTCAGTATATGAAGCAGGAGGCACGTGTCAGGGCCCCCAGCCGGGGGCAGGGAGTGTGCAGGCAGCAATCCAGAGCTGGCAACAGCTCCCCCGAGACCGGAGTGGCCA